CCGCCGCCTCCGCTCCGGCTCGCTGCCGGCCCGCACCCCGAAACCGGGCCGTGCTGCCCGGCCGCTCCAGCGCAGGAGCTTTTGGGGCTCGCTCCCGCTTTCCCCGTGCATCGCTGGAACTCCTGGTGGGAGCCGGGCTCCTGCAGGGCGCCGAGAAGTACGGCTGCGTTGGGGGGGGGGGGGGAAGAAATGGCACTTGGCGGCGCTTTCCTTGCAGAATTTGCTAAAAATACGTCATCTGTGAAAATCAGTGCTGAACACTTAGTCTCCCTTTAAAGCCCCCCCCCCTTTTTTTTTTCCCACCCCGCTGTCCTGTTCGTTTAACTAACCTGCTTTCTCTTGCTGCCTGTAGAGCATACCACTGGATGATAAACCAGATCAAGTGTCTTGGACTGAAATGGGACAGGGTACCAATGAAGGAAAGCAAAGAAGAGAGCTGGAAGCAGCTTGGTTTTCTCCAAGCCCGTTGAGGCTGCTGAGCAAAGAGCCCTGAGCTTTGCCTGAGATGCATTTAAAGAAAAACCAAAGACTTTCGTAAAGGACTTCTAGTGAAGCGTCCACGTGTTTTGAGTGGCACAGCTTTGCGAACGATTATCTTCTATTTATGAGACGCGAGGAAGATTCAACACTGACTGGTGGTGTTAAACACAATTTAAATTATTTGTAGTATCTATATTTGTATTTATTTTGATGAATGTCTTTCAGCAGTTACTGGTCTTAATATTGCTTTTGCATTAATATGTCCATTCCAAATAAATTACTTGAAATGTTCACTTTTTATTACTATACTCTGGGCTGGAGTAACTTTTGTTGGCGCATGTTTGTGGAGCGGGCAGTGGTATAGTGGCTTAAAAAGAGTGGGCAAGCTCAGCTTTTTGGCGCCCTGGACTGGGCAGTGGGAGGTGGAGAAAGCCCAGATAACCCATTTGCGTTTGACCTCCTCTCCCAACCAGGGAGGGAAAGTGTGTTGAGGTCCAGTTCTGGTCAGTGGTGGAGATGGATAGAAAAGCCTACCACAGCTTGGATAAGTGTTCCTTTTGAAGCGCTTTCCCATATAATCGAGTAATGGTGGCTACAGAAGGCACAAGGGCTCCCTGCAACAATAAAATGCTGCTGTTTGCTAATGCCTCGCGTCCTCTCCCTGGGCCCCATAGTTTAGTGCTGTGCTAAGGCAGAAAACTGGATTCTTGATTTCAGAATAACACAGCACTGACGCTCCATGGGATTCCTCAGCTTTGCAGCAAAGCAAGCTGAACTCCTTGCTCTCTCTTCTTCTTCTACCTCTGCAGTCTCTAGATCGAGTTAAATTTCTACAGGATAACTGGGAAGAACAGAGATGGTCTTTTTTCCTATAGTACTCGGACCAAGAAACTTGGAGAACAGAGCAGCTAATTTTTTGGATAAAAGTACTGAAGTTTTGTCTTGTGAGGCTCAATTACCACTAACTAACCTGGGCTTCCTCGAGAGCAAAGCTGCGGCACACGACTCGGCTCCAGCAGTCAGGACTATGAGCTTAGCAGGCAAAGTACTCGCTATTAATGCTCCAAACTTGGTAATTTCAATCAGGTCATTTCCCCCTCCCAATATCAGTGCAATTCTTGCAGGAGACTTTGTACTAGAGGAAGTTGCAAAGTACGTAATTACAAGCAGCCTGTAGTAAGAGCAAGAGAGACCCAGTACAGGAGGAAAAAAAAGAAACCAAAACTGGAAGGAGGGTTGGCCCTCATTTCTGGACACGGCAGGGAAACTCTGGCACTGCACTACAGTGGGGCTTTGCATCCTCCTTGCGTGCTGCTGGCAGCTATGCTGCTGCCCACCAGGCTCATCCAGAGGCAGGGTTGCACATGATTGAGCTGTGGATATAGCAAACCTTTCACCACAGCGTTTGAAAGTTTTTGGCCTCGATCCCCCTCTAGCACAAGAACGCCAGAGGTACATTTAATGTAGCAAAATGACACTTAAAAGCAGGTGTGGTTTACCCTGATTTTTCTTGGTACCGTTGTGGGGCGGGGGGGTGGTGGTGAAATAAAAGGCCAAACCAGAGCAGAGGCACTGGCTCCGTAGTTTCAGTGAATCCAAGCAGGAATGCTGACTGACAACAGCTGAGGATCTGGAACGATTGCCTGCAATGACAGCCACTGCTGCTGGGGGGGGACCTGATAGCTCCCGGCATCCCAAGGCCACCAGTTGCTCCAGCATGGCTTTGCAAACCGATCTGTCCCGTACTCTAGATGCAAATATTGATGAAATGCAGGTGCTGTTCAAACAGTTTTATTCCAGGTTTACGGAATCAAAAAAACCCCTCAAGAAGATCTTTATTTCTATGGAAAAAGTAAGGGGGTTACTTTCTTGCAACTGAATTACTGGCTTTTCATCTCTCTCAGTGGGATTTTACTCTTTAAGAGGTAAACAAACAAACCTATATTGACAATTAGCTGTAAATAGCCGAAGGAGGAGACTCCAAATTGTTTGTATAAAACTCCACCGATGGTTGGGCCCACCGTCTGGGTCAAGGGCTGCACCGAGGCGCAAATCCCAAGCATGGTACCTAAGAGAGAAGGCAGAGACATGCAGATGGGTGAGAGCAAGTCTTGGGACGGAAAAGCGGATAAGAGCATGTGGGATCCCCTTCATCCCTGATGGTATTCCCCCACTGTAGTAGCAACTCACTTCAAATAGTCTCTTGCATTAATTTATAGAGGTCCAATTAGGGTTTGTTAAGGCTAAGGACTCCTGGAGGGACTAGTTTCCACCACAAGCTCTTCACTGAGTGGTCTGGATAACCGTAACGCTGCCTGAAAGGCAAGCTGGTTCTCAACACTGCCTTCACCAGGGTCCAAGGATGCCTTTGGCCCCAGAAGATGCTTCTGAATGTCGCACCCAACAGGGCTGGTAACTACTTGCATGGCATTAGGGATGGAGAGGTAATTTCTAGGGTCGTGTTTGAGACTTCCAAGAAAATCACACAGATTCTTCCGATATCATAATTACCTGAGACATCCCTGTTCCACCTGAGCTGCTATTGCCATTTATTCTCTACTGTGGGACAGAGGAATAGCTTTCGAGGGCTTAGCAGCAGCGAGAAGCTTAGGTCTAACTAGGTCTTTAAGAAAAAATAAATAAAACCACAGATAAAGCCTGAACCCCCTTGAGATACTCCCCACCCCACCCCCCTTTGCAAAAAGAACGGATATTTCAATTTGGATGGAAATGCAAGCCCTTCGCCTGGTTGGGCTGGTTCCCTCTCCAGCAGCTTCCCCATTTGCATCGTTAACAGGAACCCAGCGGACAGGGAAGCACCTCCAGTTTGGCAAAGGCAGGGTTTTTTTTCCACGCGCAGACGGATGGCCAGGACGTCCCACGGGATGCAAAGCTGGCTCCCATGCACCCGCCACGCTCTTTACCCTGCGGTCTTCGTGCAGGACAGCTATCACACTCGGGAAACAGAAAATAGCTGGCCGGCGAGAAAATCATTAGCCCCCAACACTGGGAGGAAGGGCAGGCTGGCAGTGTATACAAGAATCTTGTGTCCTGCTCTGAAGTAACATTTGCAATTATTTTTCTTACTATCAGTACGATTATTTGGGCTGTTGGCATCAATTTTCCACCAAGGCACGTGTTGAGGCATTGTGACCGCACAAGACCAGCAGTGTCTGGGAAGGATGAGGAGGATGCTGTCCCGCATGTAAGAAGATGTGGAGCCAAGTGCGATATTTAATGTGGGTAGCCACAGGGAAATGATGCCCGGCTTCGAGAGAGAAGAGGCAGCCAGGTGTTCACGTAATGCTGGCCAGCAACCGCTGGGCTTTTATCAGCATGCTTAAAATACTTGTGCAATGAGCCCAAGCCGAGGGCGTAGCCGTGCGGAGAGGGAAATCTCCCAGGAAGCGCTGCCGAGCGCTCCTCCCGCGCATGGGAACACAAAGGCGATGGGTGGGACCTCGCCTTGACCCTTTGCCAATGGGAACCATCCCACAACCACCAAACTTTCTGGGCAGGTTTTGCAATTATTTTTTCCCCTCTAGGTATTTGAATTAAACTAATTACTACGTACAACTGCCGAACTGGCTCTTATGATTGAGGAGGCACTTTTTTCCTTTCCTTTTTTTTTTCTGGAGCAGAAATCAATCCTCTTAAAAGGCCAGGCTCTCCCTCTGCACTTCTCCAACATGTTGCTGAGAAAGATAATTTCTCTTTAATGGGCTTAAATTAGATCCCTCGTGTCAGACACCCTCGAGCTTTGGGACATTGTAAATCTCAGCTCTGCAGTGTGGCCCTAGCTCTGTTGCAAAGCTGCGCATGTGATGGATCTCATTTAAGGCAAGAGCTTTAACTGGGACAAGTCATCACCTCAGCAGAAAAATTCCTGTGTCACTTTGCGCAGCTCTGCCAACGCACATGCTCACCTTCTTCATCACGGCTATCCTACTTTCTGCACCTTCGCTGCCCTTTTTTCTCCCTCTCCAGCTTTCCTCCCCCCTTTTCCCATACCTGGCATGACCTGACCTGGCCGGGAGTCCATCCTGCCCTCCTGCCCCAGCCCTCCTCCCCTCCCGCAGGTTTCAGGGTTGGGTGCTGGCAGCTCCCCAAGCCGGGCGGCTCCGTCCCTGCTCCCACCCTCCGCTGTGCTGGATGCCCTGGCTCGCTCTCCTTTCCAGCTCACATCCTGTTGCCGCGCTCAGATGATGGTGCTGGCCCAGATCAGCCACATGCCCGTGGGGCAATCGCGGGGCCTAATTTAATGATTAAGTCATCACTGCCAGCAGCTGCCTTCGAACCAGCAAAGCCTGAGCAAAGCTGGGGGGTTCAGTGTACCGAGCCCTGCCTGGCTGCAAGATCTCCTCCTAAGGTTTTGCGTCTGATGTGCAAATAAAATCACGAAACTTGGGCCCGTTATGCAGGGAGGCTCTGCCGGGCTTCCTCCCTCCCTCCCGTGAGGGTGGGGGGCTCTGTGCAGAAACAAGACCTCCATTCTCCGGGAGGGACCAGCGTTGACAAGGAGTGCTTGTCCGGATGCAAGTCCCCCTGGGCTGGGGGCTGCCCTCCCACCAGCTCGCACGCCCAGCTGAACAGCACGCGCACGTGGGGCAGAATTTTCCCTTCCTGCCTTTGAAGATGAGGAGAGAGGAAAAAAAATATCAAAGGGAAACGAATGAAATCATTTCCGCTATCTGTGCTTCAGTGCAAAGCCCCAGCCAGAAGCAAAGAGCAAGTGGCAAACTCATCAGCTTCGGTAGGAAGCGACCTTGGATCGGTCCTGAAAGCAGGATGATGGATGCAAGGGATGGGGCCATCCTACGTCCCATCGTTCCCTTTCCGAGGCACCTATTTAAAAGGCAAGGATGGTGACTCAGTGTCTAGCAAGGGCGGACAGGTTATCCTCCTGCAACGCCCCATCCGTTCCAGCCCTGCGATGAGGCAGACACCTGAGCTCAGCCCAAACTCCAGCTCCTCAGAAAGCCTGTCCCTGGCCCAAAGAAAAAAACCCTCCATGGGCTCTGCCGGCCCAAGGCTGGCAAAAACATCAGGAAAAGACAGCAGCAAGGCTCAAAAGTGATGTTTCCAAAGGCAAATTCTCAATCTGTGATTTCCTTGCATTAACGAAAAGTTGTTCCAAGCTAGCGCTCAGGTTTTTGATGCAGCGACAGCGAGGCTTTTTCATAAAGCCACATTTCCAGGCTTTTAGAAAAGTGGGGCTTTCTAACGCGCCACCAAAATGCTCACTTTGCAAAGCCGGTCTTGGGCTTGCATAGGAAGGAGCAGCCTTTTAGCTGCTGTACGGGTGGAGCAGCCGTTGCGGGGTGCCACCCACGGCCAGAAACGGATGGCAGGCATTTTAATAGCCACGTTTCTCTGCGAGACACCCACGCTGTCACTGCTGCAGCTGCTGTGGAGAGGCAGCTCGCCGGCTCTGCTGCGTCAGGCATTCCTGCCTTCGCCCTGGCCCCTGCCTGAGTGCCTCCAAAACAAGCACAAAACCATCAGATGCCTCTTCCCTCGGAAACATTGCAAGGACAAAGCACGGTTTGAAAGGCGAGGGCCAGGCGGGAGTGGCGGAGACAGGGTTTTCCCCCAGCGTCGTGATCCTCCGTGCCAGTAGCATCCCTCCTTGGTATGCCCAGTTTCGAGCCAGCTGTAACTCTGTAATTTGTAGTAGCACTTGGCTACATCAGCCCAGGACGGACGGGCAGGAGAAAGCCCTGGACAGCCCATGGTTCCCCCAATGTCCCGCAACCCCTGCCTGACCATCTGCACCACCCCGTGGGCTGCCTCTGTCCTGCCCTGCTGTCCTGCCCTGCCATGCGGGGACCGTCCATCCCACCGAGGCGCACGCTGACCTAACAACATACGCAAGTGTGGAGCAGAGTGAGGCAACTAAACCCATTTTCCTCTCTGAGCAAAGCCTGCGTCCGGGCTTTAAAAGCCAAGCAATGCTCTGATTTTCCTCACAAAGCCCCTTTGAGAAGAGACTGGATGGATTCCAGCTTGGCTGTATGTCCCAAAGCCGCTTGGTGCCCTTCCCCCCTGGCTCTCCCTCCTCGCATGAACATCACTCCAACTCATGAAACAGCAGATTTTCTTCCCGGCTGAGCGGAGGGGCTGAGACATCCCCAGTCCTCACCTCCCTGGGAACTAAGTGGTCCACCCAGGTAGAAGTATATCGCACTCAGAAATCACAGGCTCCCAGCATTTTTAGGAGATGTGGTGGTCAGCTCTACAAATAAACTGCTGAAGTGACATTTAGAAAAGCTCTTCATCCAGAAGCATCTCAAAAGTGCTTTATAAACTTCACTAATGGGCTGTGCAAACTATAACTCCCATTCTCGGTAGGGTCTGTACAGAGGTATCTGCTCAGATGGCAGCTAGGGAAGATGAAGGGTGCAGGCTGGCATCCCAGAAAGGCTCAGCTGAAGTACAGAGAGTCTCAGGTACCTGGAGAATGCAGCTCTGGGAGCAAACCCTGAAAGAGCTTGAGCAAAAGACATCAAACCAGGTTAACTCAGCTCCATCCCAGGACAAACTCAGCAAAGGTCCCATGACAATAACATAGGCATATATTCTTCAGCAAAAGAACTAAAAATGCAGGCATAAAGATTTGTGTGTCTACCACTGCATTTCAGCCACCTTGTACAGAGAAATACAGTAACTCTTTGATTGAAACATGGCCAAAATGTAGGGAGGGGGGCAATTACTGCACCAGGCAAAGCATGTTTCCAAAGGGCAAGCCAGAATACCCTCCTGAGATGCCCTAAGTTAAAAGATGTGAACGAGCAGCCATCTCAGTCACCGTCGTGGTGGAAAAGCAGCAGCTTTTTTTTTTTTTTAACATATCTTGGCTTCCCATGGGAGGGAGAGTTTGGGAGAGCCTTCCCTTACTGCCTCCACCACCATGGATGTCAGCAGGTGGCGGGGGACTGGGAGCACTGGGTGGCAGGATGCTTGCTCAATGCTGTTCAAGCTCATCCTGTATTAACACCACCGGTCCCCGTTCATCTGCTCTGCTGACACCCATCGCATGCAACCGCCAAGGCAGATCTCCTGGGGAATTGAGCATTTGCCATGACTGTGCCCCTGAGCTCGATAGCGGTGGTGTGAGCTGGGAAGAACCTGATGGACTCAAAACCGAGAAAAGACCAGTCTGATCTTTTTTGCCAAGTCTTACCGGTGTCGGAGGAGGGGACGGCCTTGGTGAGGATGCTGTCGGTGATGGTGCCCAGCGTGCCGAAGGCAAACACCATTGGCACCGCAACGATGCAGTAGTGCCACACGGTCCTCATCAGGGCCTAAGGGACAGGACACAATGGACCATGGATCATTAGAGAGCACAAGTGGTGACTGTAGCAAGAAACAACCTAGAAAAAACGTCATAAGTCAAATCCATGACTTAGGTAAACTGTGGGAGCTACAACTGATACATGATGGTGTGGCTTTGGCCATTGCAGGGTCTTTCAGAGCCCAGCATTTGTGTGCAGTGAATTATTCCAAGCATGTAGAGCAAGTAGCAAATGATACCCTCCAACGTGGCAGCACGTTTCTCTGGCACTGCTGTGGGTATTTTTAGCATCTGGGAATTAGTGATGTCCCCGCACCCTTCCCCTCATCTTCTGTCTCTTGTCCAACTCCTAAGGAAATGCTGAACAGCAGATGCATGTGGTGTACTTCAGGAAGCCTCCATTACTTATACAAAACAGCCTAGAGAAGGCATTTCAGTTCATTATCATAAATAATTAAAACTAAACTGAGCTTGTCAAAATAAATGAGCGCGCTGCATTATGTAATGCTGTACCTTTGGGATTTCTAATCCTGTTCTGCTGCTTCCTTGCTAATAAATTCATGGAATTCAGTAATCTGGAATAGGTCTTCTGGCCATAAGTGCACATTAGTGAGCATAATTAGGGAGAGTAATGATTTTGTTATTGCACATATTCTTAGTGGAGACATCCCTCCAGCTGTTTAATACTGAAACAAAAGCGGAGAGGTTCCCTAAGCCGTGGGGCTAGAGCGGCTCTGGGCTCATTCACAAGCCCTGCTGGTCAAATGAATGGATTTCTCTGGGGCATGGAAAGGAAATTCCCCCTTTCTTGCAAGTCTCCTGCCCTCACCCATGGCTGAAGGTGTGTTATTGTGGCTGGAAAACATTTCTGTCACTGGTTTAGCCAGAAGTTTCATTCTCTGGAGTTCTCTTTCCTGAGATCTGGTCCCTGCCTCTCGGCTACAGAAGATGGAGAAGCCCAGAGACATTGCTCACTAATGACTTGGAAATATTGAGGTTTATTCCTAGTTTCCCCCAAGAGTCACACACAGCCAGGTTTCTCTCCTCGGAGAAGCTCTTTGCCTAGATTTTGGTTAAGATCTAGGCACTTCTGATTAAGGAACCAGAGAACAAAGACAGAGGAACAGGTATTTGGTACATAAACACTCAGACGGAGGGAGAATAATTCCTTGCTAGGGCAAATGTCATTGCAGGACAACATTGCAGAGCTCATAGGAAAAAACAGCTTTAACCCCCGCCCCCCTCCCCCCGCTTTGTACGAATTCCCTCATGGGCTGAAGCAAGTGGGCAGAAAAGAGCAGAGCTACGTCTGCGCCTCCTGTAAAGCCGGGGGAAATGGCTCCTCGCTCCCCTGGCACTCGGAGAGGACGGAGCCAGGCAGAGCCTGGTCTCTGTTGCTCCTCAGCTGCTGGGTAGGTAGCAGGCTTTTTGACCTGAGCAGATCTGAAGGCATTTTTCAGGTGCGGGAGGCAGAACCAGGAGTTTCAGCAGACAGGCTCAAAAAGCAAATGCCTGGGAAACGCAGGCAGCGAGGCAGGACGAGGCACAGCGCGCCTTCAAAGAGAAAAACTTCCCTGTCGCAAACGCCAAGCCCTCCTACACCCCTGCCCACATGCTCCCAGCTTCCATCTGCAGATCAGACACTGGCTCTCCCCTCCTCTCCTTTTCCAGGTGTTACTGCCGAGCTCCCAGCCCACCCTTCCCTTCTCCAGCTGCTGATTGCTGGGAACATCCTGAAGCCTCTTCCCAGCTGCACTGCTGTCTGTCTGTCTGCTGCTACTGGTGCCAGCCTTCCAAAAAACACTTCAGCCCACCTCCCAGCGATGTGAAGGTGGGTTTTGGAGTGTCTTTTATTAACAGCTAGCCTTTCTCCTCGCTTCCACCCTTTGGGGAGGGGATCTGCTTCATTTGGAGGCCAGATGCAGCAATGGCACAGTGGGCGTGATGCTCCTCCACCAGCGGCTGTGCAGGATTAAAAGCTTCACGCATTAATCTCTGCATTTGGGGCCTGCTGCTGTGACAGCACTCATCCCCACCGAGACGGAAAGCCACCCCAGAAACGGATGTTTTCTCGGCAGCCGCTCAAACAGAGCGCTTTTTAATAAGGCGTCCCTGGCGAAGAGGATCGCAGCTGCGTTTGCCTATGAATAGTTCTCATGGGAAGTCATCGCTGACCCTTGTCCCCCGGCCCGTGCTGTCAGGATGTCCACAGGCCTCTGGGCTTGGCGTAATTGCCAACTCCAAAACGATTTCCCTTCTTGGCTCCCCTCCCCGCGCCGCCGATGTGAGCCTCCCCGTGCTGGGGCATTAGCCGCTGCAAGCCGTGCCACCCCATGTGCCCCTCCACTGCCACTGAGGCTTTCTCTTCTACTTGCAGCCACCTCCAGCCTTCCCTCTCAGTGAGACCTCAGTGCACAAAAGCCATTTACGCCATGTTGTTCCTCTGCCTGATTCCCATGGGACCGGACTTTGGCACAGGGAGCCGGTCCCAGCGGCACCCCGCCCTGCCCCTGGGTGGATGTGCTCAGGTCTCCAGATGGGCCAGGTCCACCTGGGTCCCACCTAATTGCTCCCACCCTTGGCCAAAAAACCATGGTGAGACCTTCAAAGCCATTCCTAGGCCATGCTCAGGAGCACCAAGCCCTGTGCAGATGTCCCATGCTACGGGGGCACATCGATGCCAGCCAAAACCACATGACACCAGCCGGGAGGGTCCCTTCCCAAGCATCCTACCACCTGGCAGCATCTCCGCAAGCCCCGAAATCCCCGAGAGGGGGGCCACGCTCCATCTGTAGAGCCAACCCTTTGTCTGCATCCATCCTCCTCCCTTCCCAGCCTCAGATTAGCTAAGGTGCGTAGGTGCCTCATCTCATCCGTGTAGCTGGGAACCACGAGCCTCAATACCCTCCAGGATTTGGCCCTGACCTCCTTGTGGCTGCAGCGCAGTTGTGGGAACGGCACCCATCCTACCCGTGCCGCCGGGAGCACCGGCACCCCGGCAGCACAGCTCGAGGCCAAATCCTGCAGGGAATGTCACACGGCTGACACAGCTCGACCATCCTTTGGGCCCACCTTGCTAATGGGGACCAGTGCGCACCATTCCTCTGTCCCCGTGGTCTGGGCAGATCTATCGGTTCCCTGAGCGTGGCTTATCTGAGCAAACACAATTACCGGCAGAGCTGCCTATGTCAACTCGGTTTTCCAATTACCTTTTGAGATTGGCATCAACTGTCGCCCATGCAGACACAACCAGCGACGGGTAACGTCACTTATCCCAAAACAGAGGAACAAGATTATTGCCTTGCTACCTCCTTCCCCGAATACTCTCAGCTTGGGGGAATTAGGCAAAAATAAAGCCCCAGAAGAAGAGCACACAACCTCCACTGTCTCGCAGCAGCGTACAACCGCAATGATTTTCCCCCCCATAATCTTCATTTACTTTCTGGGTAGTTCAGGAAATGCAGTCGCTGACAAGACCGAGGGCAGGATTCCTATGCAAAGCCAGTGACTCAGGAGGGACTTAACAAGTTTCTGTGTGAGATTAATTTTTTTTTAAATCCCAGTAACTATTACTCACACAGCTCTTTATTGTTATTTGGCGCGGTGCTTTATGCTGAGCGTGGCTCTGTTTGCATAGAGGCCCAGGAGAGCTGGTTTCGCCCCCAGGGACCACCCAGCAAAGCCAGCGGTGGCATTTCAAGGGGTAGAACTTGCAGCCAGGTCTCACGGACCTTGCGCCGCTGCATTATTAAAAGGCCCCATGGATGATTTCACGCTGAGCCTTACCATGCCTAGGCCAACGCCGGCAAAGATGAAGACGCTGAGCCTGAGCAGGGTCCTCTCTGTGCAGTGGTTAGTGAGTTTTCCAGTGACCAGACCCTGGACAACCTGGGAAGGAAGCACACGAGCACTGTTAGGCCCACTATATAACAATTTAAACAAGCTCAAACGAGAACTGCTGCAGTGCTTCAAGCAAAGGGTTATTCCCTCGCTTTTTTTGGAGTAAAAGGGACCTCGCTGTCATGGTAAATGGCTGGAAGACACGATCCATTATTTCAAGCATTTTGCATCCTAGGGATAGATCCAACCCGTCAGCTGAAAGTCTTTACTCAGGGTGTACACCTGAGTTTACCATCACTGCCTACTCACCAGCGGTGACTGAAACTTTCTAAAGATGCTTGCAGATACAAATGAATTTTTCTAACTTGTGCTGTTTTTGTGAAATACAGTTAATGCTAAGGTCTTCATCCTTGACAAGTCCTTCCAAAATAAAACTGTACATTTGTATGCAGAGGAAGAAAATGCCTTCTTTCCTGTACCTTCTCTTGCCATTATTTTAAACTGTAAATATACAAATTGGGCGGTTCATCATTTTTAGGCAGGAAACAAGTATGACAGACATGCTAATACCCAGCCCCAGCAGTACATGCAGACGTGAAGGACGGGGAACTGGTTTTACAGATTTTAAATAAAAACTGGGGAAGAGGGGGAGGGAAGGAGGAGCAAAAAAATTTAAACTCCAGGAAGTATTTGTCTTTTCCAGCACTTTGCAGAGCAGAGATTCCTTCTTTTATTTCTCTGTTCAGCATCTCCCATACTTCAGGTGATGCCGGCCCAAGTGGACATGAGAGGACAGAGGCTGGAAGAGATTACTGTGAAAATGAAACCTGACTGAGTGCATTTTGGGGGAGGGACAGGTAGGAATCTACCAAGTTTTCCCTGGCTTGAAAAGTTGGTTTGATCCAAGAGAAAACCCCTTTGACTTGAAAGAAGAGCTCTAGTTCAAAACGCTTTGTTTGGTGGGATGGCTTCATTTCAATGGCAGTCCATCCTGGAGAAAACCTCGGTGCCCTGCTTGGACCTGGAATGATGCTACGCCATGCTCATCCTTACTGTGTTAGTCCTAAGGATGAAACCCAAACTCAACTAAAAGGAAATGAGTGCAAAATTAATAAGAAAGTTATTAAAAAGAAAGGAAATACTAATCTACGACAAGCAGTCCAGAAAAAGCAATTTAAATACTAAAACTTAAAAAAAGCAAAAAGCAAACAGCAATAGAGTGAAAATAAAGTTGCCATAAAGAAAAATAGCTACAAATTGACTGTGTTTCCAACAAGCTACATCTTAATGGAAAAACATCAAAATTCAACCCTTCACTTGGCTTCGGAGCACAGGCAGTTTTTGACACGAGGGCGCATTGTGCCAAGCAGACATTTTGGTTCCCAGTAAATGCTTTTCCTGCCTCCTTTTTGTCCCCATCCCCACCCTTGGGCAGGGCTTGAGAGCTTGGGTCATGTGTGCCCGGCCACCGTGTGACAGTGGGACAGGCCCTGTGTGTTTCTCCCCGGTCATGTCACCCGCCGAGCGGCCTCGGGGACACTAGTGGACCTGCTGCAGTGGAATGCTCGGACGATGCATGGGGTGACCTGAGTCATCCCGGCTAAAAGCCCTGCAGCGGACACGGGAGGAGGCAGATACCAGCCCCAGTGGCTCCTACTCGGGGGGTGGGTGGAGAAGCCGCTGAGTAAGGCTTCATTAAGCTGAGTGCTCCTAAAACAAAGAATCATCATTAACTTTTTGCAACTTCCCAGTCCTTTCTGCCGGCTCGGCCCAGCCAGGTCTGTGCTGAGTCACACGGGATGGGGGCTGAGCCCCATCGCAGGGCATGGCTTGACTCAGCGGTGGCATCACCCGAACCCCAGTTTGGCTCTGCTGAACCACAGGAGGAAAGGAAATGTTTCTCAATTTGCCCGGACTTGAACAGCATATGTAATTGGGATACACCATGCAGGCGCAGCCTGGTCCCTGCCCTTCCTTGAGTCATTGGGGTATATCATCAGCAATGTCCCAGAGCAGCCCGGTCTGATGGCCACGGGAGTGGTGTACCCAAAAAGGTCTCCGTCACTACACGTGAGCACCTAAGAGCAGGCAACGAGCACCGCTGCAGCAAAGCCAGGCTCTGAGGAGGCAGGACCTGGAGATACGCAGACTGGGCTGTCCCCAGAGTGAGCGGGGCAGAGAGACGGTCCTCGTGCCAAGGCTGGCATTCAGCACGAGCTTCCCCATCACTCGGACTGTGGCAATACGAGTGCCAGGTAAAACACCACTGCTGAACCAACTGACTCAGCGATGGGACTTTTTCCAAGGGCAAGCGTCAGCCCAAGTCACCTGCTTTCCTTTTGGGGCTGAGCAGCTATCCTTGGGTTATACAGACTGCAGCTTCCCCACTGGTTCTCTGGGCTGCCGACTCCCTCCCCAGCACGGTCTTTGCTGATCCAGCCATAAGCCCCAGGCAGGCAAGGCCCATCGTCTTGATTTTGGACACAGCGCCTTGATTTAGGCGCTGGATAATGTTTCCAGTCACCAGGAGCTCCAACCTCACTTCCAGTCTGAATTTAGACCTGAAAAACCATTACTTCCAGCCTGCAGTTTTCCCTGGGCGCACAGTCCCCCAGTTTGCATGAACGGCAGCCACCTGCACAGGCATCTTTGGGAAGGAGGAAGCGAAAGGTGGTTCATGTGTGCTCTCCCATGAAAGGTTTTGGACGTGTGCTGCCATCGGCAGGGGGTACCAGGGCATCCCAGATGACTTGGCTGTCGCCACTCCCATGGACAAGCCCTGGTGGCACTGACAATGCAGCAACGGGATTTATCCTTATTTTTATTACTGCTGGCATGTTCTGGGCTTTTTCCCTCACATGTAACCTCCCCTTGAGATCGACTGTGAGGGGCCTTCCCCTCCTGCATTTCGTTTTGCCTGGATGGTGCTTGCCTTTGTAACCTGACCTCCTTTGAAGTCGGGGAAGAGCCAGTGTACCTGGCTGGAATGCCTTCTGTCATCAATAAACAAAAGAGAGAGGAAATTGTTTGCAAGTGAAATAACAGGCACTGCCTGTGGCTGTGTACACATGTCACAGGAAAAACCAACTCACCTTTTTTTTCCTCCCCCCCTCCTTCTTTAAAGGCAAATAAGTCTCCCAATAAATGCATAAGAACAGCCAAATCTCTCCTTGTCGTTATGCTGGATTTGCCAAACTGGGGATTTGTTACACTAATTCAGCTGATCACTTAGAAAAATACTCTACCTCTACCACTGTATTTGATTTCTGGGAAGGCAGCAGCTCCCATGTGCTCAGAAGAGCCAATTACCCACTTTATTGTTAACCTCATTAACAAATTTCAGGAATCCCTTTCAGGATGGAAAAGATTGTTGCTGTTCGAAGGTTTGAGGTGCTAGTTTTTGGAAGACTTTTGAACAGTGAAGCACTAGCCTTGCTGCGTGGAGCCACTGCTGAGCAGGACTGGCACCTGCAAGTAGCCAACCTTAGGTGGAGGTTAGAGGAGTTACGCAGATGCTCGGCTGGTCCTATGCACTTAGCGGATGCAGAACTGTTTCTACAGATTCTTCCATCAGCACCGATCGAAAGCCTGACAGAGCCCAGCAACAAACTAAATTTCTTTTCACCCAACAGCCTGGAAATGAAAAGACGTGAGAAGGTCGGACAGGCCCGCGCAGCAGGCCAGATAAGCTGGTACAGCCTAGCAGAGAAGGTGCAGAGCCCCATCCCTAGCACAGATAGCATGATTCACATCAGAGGCAGCCTCCCACGCACCGGACCCATATCTCTTGCCTTTGAAATTGTGCCCGGCTGGCAGTTCCCAGGGCGAGCGCAGTGCCGGCTGGGGTGGGACGCGCGGGTGGGCACCGGCTGGGGCAGACCACAGAGGGCAACAAAAATCACGAGGCTTTTCTGCATAGGCTGAAGTTGGTGCAAAACCTTGGGTGGGGGAAAAGGGAGTTGTTCTACTGACATGGTGATGCCAGAAAGCGCTTGAGAAGTAGTTCAGGTCTTGCAGAGGAGCAGGAGGATGGTGGGACTGGAAGGAGAGCTGATGGTGAGGACCAAACTGCTGAAGGCAGCACTTTGCTGAACAGGGGGAAGAGGACCGTGTGTTTTGCAAACTCCAGCCTAATCGCTTTCTTTCCCCCTCCAACCCACTCCCCTCCATAGATTTAAATCCTTCAAAGTGAGGAAACTGGAGAACTTTCTGTTTGTTGTTGCAAGGTCCTTTCACCAAGTGGGTTTTCCCCCTAGGCATACCTGGCTGTAATTAAATCCCTGGCTCTTTAATCATCTCTTTTGCTGTGCAGAGGAAAAAAAAAAAAGCAAGAGGGACAGACTGGTGATAAGATGATACGCAATGTAAATCTCTCCTCCAGGAATCTCTCTCATCTTTTCAGGATCACTCCGTACCAACTTGTCCCTCCAGAAGCTGCACAGCTAGAGGTGGAGTTTGTATAACAATACACATTTAAACGCAGTAAATAGAACAGATGTCTTATGATTTCTTGATCCTCAGGGTTATAAATATCTACCCCTTTGTCCCACCCAGAGTTTTTGTTTGGTGCGTTTTGCTTTGGTTTTTTTGGAGAAAAAGTTCTTAAAGGAAAGCTTCCCCCACCCCCTCCTGCGGTTTGAAATCTAAGCATCAGATGTGACTTTAGATATCAACCAGGGACTCCAGGTATTTCACTTGCCTAATCCTCTGACGGCATTTTCCAAGCCAGATACTGCGCCTGGAAGTTATCCATGCTACTGCTCTCGCAACTCCAGAGCCTAGGCCCGCTTCTGCCCATTATGCAAAGTTAAATTATTTTAACTTATTATGAAATTAATTATTCTCTGGAGGGAGACTGAATGGCATCTCACACTCCCAGGCATGCACTATAAGGGAAATTTTGTTTGCATGGCTTCTGAGATGAGAGGACTCTGGAAGCCCAGCCCCGGAGGACAGAGGGATTGTGTCCCTGATGGGCTCTCACACCTCTTGCCTGGAGACCCACCAGCAATCAGATAAACATGCTTCAAACATATCATGAGCAAGGGAATCTCTGCAACACAAGACACCAGGCACAGAGGTACCCCTCCCGCTGTCTGCCTTCCCCTCCTCATTTTGTTATCTCCCACCCAGCTCCTCCTCCTCGACTTATGCTGGCACAGTCCCAGCTCAGCAGACAGCCCCATGCTATCAGGGTGCTTCGAGTATCACCGCAGAGCCCTGGATTGCTCGAATTACCCCCCACTTGCTATTTTCACTTCCCCATCAGCCCACTCCAGCCTCGGTCATATTCCATTTTCTAAGCAAGGACTTTGTTTCCTCCTCAGACAGCTCTTTGTCCCAATGCTATGACACCGCCTTCCCGCACACCCTTCTCTGACGTCATTTGGCCCTTTCCGACCCACAGGCGAGCCCCCTTCCCACCCTCACTGCGCTTAAGCCTGCCCCACACTTTCCAATATCCTCTGCTATTAAATGATGCTCTTTGCCTAACCCCAAATAGTAAATTGGTGCCAGCTCCTGGGCCAGTGCCTCATCCGGAGAGCTGGGAAGACCCCATTCCCTGTGGACAGGTACTCCCATGGGAACTTTTACAATGATGCATCAGCAGATGTATTACTTTGGGTCACTTGGGACTCCATCAGATGGGCTGGGAGCAGCAGCAAGGCAACCTACATCCCTCCACACAGGGGTACAAGTGGCAGCAAGGAGATGTTCCACAAGCGCTCGGGTGAAGGGTGACCATGCTGTGGGCAGCCACCTCAGCGGAGGGAAGAGGGTGCCGAGGATGCCCCGTGCCATGAGCGGCGGTCATCGGTCAGCACGGCGAGGACAAAACCCACCGCCAGCACGAGCTGAGCCATTTCACCGCTAGCAAGCGCCATGAACGGTTCCCATGTGGACAGAGCTGATGCTCAGCAAGGGAGCAACCAAGAAAGGTGCTCTGGAGACTGGGCACTCAAAGCTCATGAGGCTCCCAGGCTCTGAAAGCCAGCCCCGAATCCTCCTTCCAAACCCACAGGTCTCAGGCTGGGCATGGGGCACCCCTCCCAAATATTGGGGTCCTGTAGGGTCATAAAGTGACAAGATGGGATCAAGTGTGACAAGGTGAAGCTGAGGAGCTCTGGATGGGATCCCTCAGGAGGGCTGCCTGAATTAGCGGGGCGGCTAACTAATATCCTCCGTCTGCAAAGGTGGCAAACGCCTCACCTTCTGTGGGGGGTCAGTGTTTCTGTGCCGATCTCCCCACACAAAGAGCTGTTTGAAATACTGACAACATAGTACTTGAGTTGCCTACTTAAAATTAGGTGGACTGACCCAAAGCCATTCAAAATCTCCTCTCTAGGTGCTCTGCAGCTGGCTTGAATGGGAAAAATGGTGAGAAACAGAGATGTTTACAGCGCATTGGCTGCTTCTCACCACAGTAGGTTAAATGAGGCTGAGAAGCTGAAAAATTAGGTCAAGCAATTGGAGCATAATATGCTTGGGGTGGGAAAGGAAAGTGGGTAGATACTATCACTATTCAAGTCATCCTGGGATTGCTGATTGGGCTGGGAAAGGGGGCTGCAACATGACTTTCTGTGCAAGAGGAAGATGTTCGTTTTGAGAAGATTTCATTAAAAAAGTAGAAACTACAATAACACAAAGAAATAATATTACTAAAAATTGCCAGGAATTAGCAGAGCAGACAACGCTTTTGTCAGCGTATCATTTTTGGGGAAGAACTGAGTAAAAGGTTCAGCTATGCCTTGCTCGCTGTGCTGTTCCCTGTGCATCTCTGAAGCCGCTTAGTGCATGCAACGCGTGCTGGGAGCAGGCGAGACCCTGCGACATGGCGCTGGGCGTATCTGCTGGCCGTGCTATGCAACCGCCCAGGCACTGTGTTCAATGTCTACAGGGAGGTTTAAAGTAAATAGGACACGGTTTGATTCTTATTTTCCCCTTCATTTCTGTGACGCTCCCACCTATAGAAGTCCTTGAACACGACCCATTTTCAGATCCAGGGAGAGATGCAAACGGGGGGATGTGTTTCCTCTAACAGGAGGGCTCAGAGCAAGTCCAGGAGAATGGGAAAACCCTCACAATGTTTTATGGAAAGGCAAAATAAGGAATGAGAAATCAAAGCTGAGGATCTGGTTGATGAAATTCATTGAAAAGGACATTATATTCCTTACAAAGAAAGCTATAATTTACTCAGTGAAGTGGGAAGCCAGTCAGCAGATATTAATCACCGTTCACCCATCCAGACTGGTGGAATTTGCTTGCACCTCAATCTGCATTTATATCTCCAGCAGTATCAATTCACTGTACAGCAGAAACAAATGCATCTGAAATGCCAGCTTAGGCAACATGAAGGCACACAAGCAGCTCTGGGGCTTGGCAGGACAGAGCCAGCACATGTTGCATTCCCTGCATACATCTTCCACTGGATGAACCCCAAGAGAAAGCAGCCATAAAACGTTAACCCAGTCACTAACTGCAAGAGATATCTTTGGGTGGTTCTAGCCAGAGACCTGATGTGAAAGTAAAGATAGACATTTTAATGTTTTACAATAATTTAAAAACCAGATGGTGAGAGTATTGTTTGGACCCGTTGAGGATCTGGTCCTGCATAAACCAGAGCAGAGCTTGGCGCTGCCATTGATAAAGCGGAAAGAACAAGCAACGAAGAAGAAAGCAGTGCTTTGCAAGTTCTTAGGCAAAATGGCTTTGCTGCCACCAGGAATCACGTGTCCTTGGCTTTAAAAAATTGAAGCATTTTTTTCCCCTTTCCTTTTTGGGGTTCTGGCAGCAAACCCCAATGCACCATCATGAAGAAGAGAAGTTTGTACCCTATGACCACTCCGCTCCTATATTTCTGATGCCCAGAGTCATGCACTGTAGAATATGCATAGCAACACGGACAGAAACTGCACAGAGAGATGAAAGAAAACTGCCTGGCTGACAAAAGCTAGTTTTTGTGTCAAATGTCCCGAGGCAAAGACTCCCCAGCAAAGTAGATGCTGCACCTGAGCCTGTAGGCCACTGCTGGGTTAGAGTGTGGTAATAGGCATGATTGGCCTCTGTGGGATGAAACCCTGTGACTATGGGAAGGGTCAGGTCCCTGGTTAGCACTGGCATCTGATTACTCATTAGGAAGCAGAGTGAATGCTATAATTCCCATATCTTCCAGGGCTGTATCTATATGTAGGGTGGACTGGCACGGCAGCACAGGTAACCTTATCTACAGTAGTTTCAACCAAACTAACCTGGGAAACAATAGCAGTGAAGACAGACAGATATCCCAGACATAACAGCAGTGTCCTGAAGACAGATATCACAGACCTGACAGCAGCGTCTAAGCTCCATCTAGCAACACGAAGCCACTCCAGCCCTGGCTGTACAAGAGCTATTGCTGCCCACGTTACCTGGCTCAAAACAAGCACACCATAGCCATGCTGCAACCCCAAATTTAATTTCAGTGTAGACATATATAACAGGGATTTAACTGATACATCTAAGTGAAGACCACAGTTGTTGGGGAGTCCCTCTACATTCAAAGGGGGAAGAAGATATCAGAAGGTGACTTGGCCCCTCTAAAACCTGAGTGATTCCTGCAGATCCTGGTCTAGGAGGCAGCATAGAAAGACTAATGTAGGGACAGCCTTTGTTAGCAGTGGAGTTGGGGTCAGAAGCGTGCTTTGGAAAGCAGCTGCTGATCATTCCACTCATCATGCTCTTTCCATGCTGTGGAGCGACAAACTGGTTTTCTTTCCAACGCAACTGGATGGGAGAGTGCATCCAGCTGGTAGCAGATGTTGAGCTCACAGGATCGAAAGACAGCTAGTCTAAAGCCACCGTCCCAGAACAGACATGGCAAAGGCACCAGCTCTTCAGCTCCAGCCAGTTTACTCTGCAGACTCCACTTGCTGACATACAGCCACGCTTGTCAAATGCTCTGCCAAGGCGCCGAGGTTTGATGAGACCAGGGCAGAGCCCAAGTGACTGGCAACACCATGCCAAATCCAATCACAAGGGAAGGAACTAAAGCTGCCATTTCCCAGATGAGAAGGTCCTCCAGATCCCACAGGAACTCTGCGGCAATGCCCAGGAAATGAAGGCAGATTTAATAACTAGACCACCCTCCTTCAGGATATTGCTTAACTTGCATTCCTACCTTGAGGCTTGCTTATAAACATCTGTTGCTCTTTCTGCAAAATTATTAGCCTTTTCCTCCAAAAGGAACATTCTGCTATAACACACCACCTTACTTTTTTGGCCCTGCTACTGCCTAATTCAGCTGACTTTTCCGTTGTACCCATTTTGGTAGTCTCCTAACCATGTTCCATTGCCCACCTTTTTGTTTTGTTTTTTTTTTTTTCTTTTTGGAAAGTACAAGCTTGCTGTGCTTGTTTCCACACAGCAGAAACAAGTCCTTCCTCTACACTGAAGGGATCTGTGAAAAGGCCAGTAAGATCATCTACTTACATAAATTTACAAGGTACTACTAAGTAAATGTAAATTAGCTAACCTGCACCAGAGAAAACCTTAGTCAAGGCAATTTAGCTTCAATGTAAGTTTTGTTACAAAAACCAGGACAACACGTCAGTCCGAGGAAATTTTAGCTCCACAGCTTAAAGATCTGCAAAGAGGGACAAGGGGAAGAAAGCTTTCAGGACACTCCTTGCTCTGATTTCTTCCCATTCCAAGGAACAGAATAAATTTGGAGTCACTTCTATTTTTTGAAGCCAAGTGACACATGGCAGAGCTAGGATTTGCTTGTCAATATTACACCTGGATTTGGAAAAGCATGTGTCAACAAGGTAGCAAATTAGATAGCGGTGTGGTAAGAGGGGGACTTCCACTTCACTTACCATTTGAAGGACACCAAAATATGACATCAGGTATCCAGACTCCACTGCTTCTAAGCCAAAGAAATCCATAGCAATGATGGAAAACATAATCAGGAACAATCCTAGAGGGAGGGTTAATGAAAAGCATACATCAATATACTTGCACTGCATATAGTGGCCCAGATCCTGCTCCCAATCACCCCCAGTACAAGTCAGTAGCTCTCCCTGGGGTTGCTGGGACTGGATATAAACATGAGCAGAATCCTATTCAAAGTCAGTGTAGTAATTTAATCTTTAAATGTTAACTTTTTTATCCCCCTTACTTTCATCTTTAAATAATGTGACTATGTAGGCTGTAGATTCAGCTGTTTATTATAAACTGGTAAATATTTGTATCACCGAAGCCAGACTAACCATTAAGACAGCAAGAAAACATTTGTTCAGGCAAGACTGTAACCATAAAAATAACCTGACTGGATTCCTCGCCCCTTTTGCCTGACTTTAGACTTTCACCATAGGGAGCAAGCCAGTGACATCAGCCTAAATACAGTGGTTTCGCTGCACACTTTGGCAATGACATCGGTGGCACATGAAATCTCACTTGCACGTGAGCGGTGTCGACACAAGCAGTCAGGAAAGTACAGGCAAAATCAGCACAGGCTGGGTCTGCTTTTCAATTAAGGCAATTTCTGGAAAGCGTAACAGAAAATGCCCACTCACTTCATCTCACATGAAAATACAATAGTGTGTGTTTCCCCCAAACATACACAAATACAGACATGCATACACACGCTCCCATCGTACGCAAAGAGCCATCAAATTAAAAATATTATAACAAAACACTGCTCTCAAAGAGTGGTATGGGGTAGGAGGCTGCTGCCTCCCCTAGTGTCTTGTGCACCTCAGATGGACCAAGATAGTAGGATATTGGGGTGCTCTGTGTGTGAACAACCCCTTAACGTGCCCATCAGACAGCACTGACCCTGCTGGGGAGAGGAGAAGAGAGCAGGTGAACTTTAGGGGTCTTGCCCTTCCTTGTAGGATCCTCCGAGGTGCAAAGACTGGGTAAATAGGGAGCTGCGGTCCTCTCCTTCCTGAAGAAAACAGAGGCCAGGAGGCAACGTGTGAGGACCGAGAAGGCAGCTTGTGGCCTGGCAAAGTGAGTCACTAGCCCTGTGGCATGGGAAGGATTTGCCGGCATTTCCCGGAAGCGGGAGGTGAGCGATCCCAAATTGCTGACTTAAACGCCGTGGAGGACTCACACCCTAACAGACCAGCACAACTCCACCGCAGCCAGCAGCCTGATGGTGCCGCTACCAGTGGAGCACCTGCAGCAACAAGGACCTCCCTCCAAGCACCCCAAGCCTTTGCCTGGAGGGACCACCACCCTCCCACCCCAGGACCTGCCACAAAGCCTTCTTGAACCCCGCCGGAGACACCTCTTCCCCCCTTAATGGGGATAGCTGCACCCAAGCTGGCCCCATGGTGTTGGGGGAGAGGGATGGGGGGGCAGGCAGGGTGCCCTGCTCTGCTACTCTCCGGATATTTGGAGAAGGTGCCGGGGAGCTGGGGCTCATGAAGATTTATGGCTTCGCCACACCCCTCCATGGAGAGCACCCCATCGTTATCCACTTACTTTGAAATCGCTCTCAGCTCAAGCCAGCTTAAGGTAACATGCAAATAACAGTATTTACTCACAACATCCAAACCAGGCAACAGAGTTGCACATGTTTATAAAAGGCACACGTGAAGAAATGAAAGAAAAACCACACTTTGTTTCACTTGCAGGAAGATTAGATTGAAGCAGGCGCTCGCCCTTCATCCTGCTCCCCTGCTGCAGGTACAACCTAGGAGGGGCTCGACCTTCCTACATACCTGACGCTTCTTCCTGGTACCACGCGCCAGCTCCTACAGCTCCTCTCCCCTTTGAAGTCCCTCATCGAGTTAAGGGAGATTTAGATCTTTCTCCTCCAAATGAGCTGATTTCTTTCAGAGCAGGAGGATAGGCTGTGCTCTTTAATTAGCATTACACATTGCATGGCTCCCCTGGAGATGCAAAGGTCTCTTCTTCAGATGGGTGTCACCCCCTGTGCCTGCACGGTCACTTAGAGCTACCTGGACAAGGGACAGCCCCTTGCCCCCCTTCTTTCAGCAACTAAGGGGGTCTCTCCCACTAGCAAGACGTTTCTTGGTCGAACCCACAAGGTGAGCCCCAGACTGAACTCAAAACATTTTATGCTCATTGGAACAAGCATTTCTTACAAAGAGCTCAGCAGGTCCTCTCTGGGTAGGCTGCTGGCCAGCTGAGTGCAGCCACGTGGGTAATGTACCCACCCTGGGGTGGGCTCACTGGGGTGGCGTGTCCCCAGGCTCTTCTGGGGACACCAAAAGCCCATGCAGGAACTGCTGGGATAAGCCTCAATCCACACTGCAAGGCTCAGGTTTTCACCAGGAAAAAAGTGGAAAATGGCAACAATATCCTCAGAAACCTTGCCTTTTTTTGAGGCGGTTTACATAAGGGGTGAACTCGTCAGAAAAACTGGCACCAGTGGGATGAGTAACTAGGCTTATGCAGCAGAAGACAGGTAAATGGTTTGCAAGTTGTGATAAAGACAAGAAAAAGCACCAAGAAGACACTGGAGTACAAACCGTGTTTTCAAAAAGAAAAAAAAAAAAGATGACATTTCTAAAAGCAGCCTGTGACTTTGGAGGGCCGGCTTAGCAAGCCTTACCGAGAGCTGGTGTGAGAAGGCAAGTACAGCCTCTGGGAGCCTGTCTCAGCCCTCCTACACTGGACTGCCAACGTGACGGGATGCAGAGCCCTAGGGCTTACTGCAAAATCCTGTTCCACATGTGACAGAAAGTCCTTTTAAAAATAGGATGCAGGTGCTAGAGCCATCGTGCTAAAACCAGGTTTTCCAAAGGGATTAGGCAGTCAAAGATTCATACAAGCAGCTATTTATCAGTATTTTCAAGGCCCTGGTGATTTCTGGTCAGTAAGAGGTATGTTTGACATTTTTATCCTCATGTTTTCTTTTCTGTCTCTTATCTACCGCACTGCAATGAGGCTCTCTTTTCCCAGGTCAGTTGAGAATGTAATTCAGCTGTGCTGGAGTCGTCTGCTGCCCGTCCATCCCCTGGCAGCTACCCTCCTGCAAGAGGCACAGAGCCCGTGTCTGCTTTTATGCAACACAAGGAGGAGGTTCCCAGCCCTGCAGCCCCCTGGGGAGGCTCTTTCGGTCTCAAACAAGCTAATTTTAGACAACAATGAGATCCATCAGGAACAGAAGATTTTCTTCTGTGTATATTACAAACTTGTTTACAAAGTAAATAGAGAACGGTCTGTAATTTGGGTGATCTAATTAATTATACAGTTGCAGCCTGGAGATGAAAGGTAAATGAGCTCATGAGGAGCTCAGCCTCCAGCAGTGAGCTTCAGAGAAGTAGGTGATGGCCAAATCCCCTTTCAGCTGCCATCGTATGGTCAGTCACCTGAAGTGAAGAGAGACCTGCAAAGACAAGTTGCTAGGATTTTAATCGCTCCTCACTGTAGTGCAAGCGCTATGCTTGTAGCAGGACTGTCTCAAGTAAAGCCATTCCTATTCTTACGGAAATAATCCCAGCCATTTCAGCGATGTGAAAATTTCAGCTTCACTGTCTCCATCCTCTTTGCTTAGAAGCTCCCTTGCAGTTTTAGGCAGGTGATGTTTATTTTGGTTGGGTGCGTGTTTTTGCTGTGCATGGGAAAAGAAGAACCATCTTCTGCAACAGGGAGGAATTTGCATTTCAGCAGGGATGACTAAAACAAAGTGCATCTTGCCTGGCCTTTGGAAAAAGGAGAGTGCACAGGAAATTATCGTGCAGATTGCATATGGATGCGGTCTTAGGCGTTTTTAAACAGAGAAATGAATGCTACTTTAAGCTGAGAAATTAGCCAGAATCAGCAAAGAAAACCATCTTAAAACATCACTTGACTGTCTTGTTCTGTGAAATGCTGTCATTTTATCAACACTTTTTAAAACACAGTTCTAAAAGGTTAGTTTCATAAGAACCAAAAAAGTGCACTATTAGGGCAAGCCAGCAGTCCATCGAGACTGCATCCTGTGTCCAGTGGTGGAGGTAGGACCAACTGGCATTACTGATCTCAGCCAGTGCCAACTACACACAAAAAGAAAAAACAAAAAAAAAATCAGAAATCCTTTACTTCCATGAATGCTATTCTACAGCTTCAGTCGGACTTGTTCCTCCAGAGCCTTAGCAAGGAATAACAGATGAACCTGACCAAGCCCAGAAATGCCATCCCCTTCTAATTCAGCACTCTTCACAGCCAAATCTATTTTCATTTGTAAATTGACTTTACAGTTTACAAATTAGAAATTAGTTTGTAACTTACGTTTCACATTATTTAAACTTCCAGGGCTTGTCCAGATGCAGAAGAATTGGAAAAAAGATGCAAAGTATAAAAGCTAGGGTGCCTTAAATCCTCTCTTATGATCCCTCTTTGGAAGGGAAGTGCCTTAGTTTGTTCAGAAGCATGATGTGCATGTGTTTGGATGTGCACAAAATTTAACCCTTGAAACTATAATCAAGAGAAACTGCCCTTCTAGGTTTGACTGGGGAAAGAGCTGTGAAGGGTCTCTGTGTAGAAGGGCAGAGAACATCACGCTGTCCTTACACCACCACTAACAAGGCTGACATGCTGCCTTGTCTCTAGACAAGCAGGGGGGAAAGAAGCTAGAGGGTAGGCAAAATTAAAGATTATTAAATTGTGGCCAAGTATACGTATAACCAGGCAAATCAGTAGACATGGACCATGCTAGGACAGCAACCGACTCAAAGGGAGGAGAGAAACAGGCAGGTTTGGGATGGGTTTGAGGTAGCAGCGGGTTGCTACCATGACAAAAAACTGAGCAGAATATATAAAGAAGAGAAGAACAAGCACCACCACCAACGTGCAAGGGAAGAAACATGGTGTGCCTCTCGTGCATGCAGCCGACAGTTAGAGCAGCTGCAGCCTCTTGTCCAGCAACAGTTTTTAGTTCTTGGGAAAAAGGTTAGGGTACACATACCCCTTCTTAAAATAATTAAGTAAAATCAGGAAGGACCTCAGTGTTTCTGGCAGGGTACAAATGATTTCCCTCTGCTCTGAGGAGGTCGCAGCCTAAATAGAAATGACAGACAAGAGGAAAAAACAGCCAGGAGGATGGAGTAGAGAGATTAAGTGATTTGCCAAAAGTTGCAGAAGCAGCCTGTGACAAGTAGTCTGTTCTACATTAAGTCCCAGGGTTTTGACCCTGTATAGGTGAGACCATTTGAAAGCGTCCAGCATCGAGTTAGGAGCTGAATCCTCACTGCTCCGTAATCAAATGCAACACGCTTTCAGTAACTGGAGACAAGCCTGGTCTACAGTGTATGTCATCTTATTTTAAATACATCAGCAATCACAAGTAATGGGTGAGATTTACCTACGGGAAGTCCAGCAAAGACCTTGACTATGAAAACTTCCATTACTCCCGGAAACTTCATCAGGCGTAGGATTTCTCTGATGCTAAACATGTTGCCAGACTGTGATGTGCCTACGGAAGATGACCTATTGATTAATACCCTATTTATACAGTTTAGAGGCAGGAAGCAAGAAACTGTGAGACTGCCTGCTCAGGTTCACCACCACCTTTCCGAAAAGACACGTCTCTGCAGCACCAGCTTTCTGCTGATGGCAGGAGGTTGGGAGCTGGTGCCAGGTCTGGATGCAGAGGACCCCCGTGAGACAGCACGATTGCCTCCCATGCTGGGCCAAACTAACTCCCAGCGAGGGGTCCACATTCACCTTTTCTGAGATGCAGAGCAAGCACTGGGCTGGAAGCCTGCAATTCTGCACAGCAGAGTGTTCGACAGGTAGGGAATAATACTCTTCCACAAGCACAGTTTAGGCATCAAAGTGTCAGCATTTCAAGGTTGGCATCTTTTTGCCCTTAAATGCAACCCCAAGCCCTTACAGCATGTCGTTCCCCCACCCCTATTCATGTGCTATTATCAGAAACACTACTACTTACTGTGCTCCGTCACATGATGGTCTGACTTTGGTTTAGCCTGCAAAGGGATGCAAACCATTGCTATCATGGTATTTATGAGATTTCCCACCAGCCCGACATATGCAGGAACAAAAATGCTGCAAACAAAAAAAATACAGGTAAGTGGATAATTATCATAAACTAGACGTTTATACCTCCATCCTGCAAAGGCTTGGGCACTTGAATGAGGACCAATCCCCTTGAAGTTACAGTACGTAAGGCTATAAAAGAGCTCACATCCTTTCATGGAGGCTTTGATTATGATCGTGGTTTGAACTTTCACCAAAAGATGGCTATTGCCATCAAGATAGTTTATCATTTATATTAAAAATAAGGTATAATACAATGCTTTTAAATCTGTAAGTGTCAGGGGAAAAGAACCCCTTCTGGTTTAATGAAGCTTAGAAATCTTCCCACGGAAAGCACAGCATCTGCTTGTTAGGATCCATCTAATCCCCCATCTAATCCCCAATTTCATTCATCTAAGTTTCATCTCACTCCTTGAAATTTCTCCACAAAATCAAATGAAGTTAAGGAAAGTGAAGAAAGTACTCAAGATGATTAAGGGTGGTAGAATACAGCCCAGCCTACAAGCAGAACTGAAACCACCGGAGATACAATACCACTTGAAAAAGAGCCGCTAAAAATAACAAACATGATTTACAAAACCTTTGGAGAAGGTGAGTAAACAGCACTTTGATTTATGCACCTACTTTTCTTCAAAGGTGCTCAAAACCAAATCAACACCCCTTCAACTGTCCATCAGAGCCCGAAAAGTTGGATCTTTAACAGAATTGGGGTCACATCCTCAGATGTAGACACAGTGAACAGCAATTATTAACAGTACTTGTACAAGGATAAAAAGGAACAATTAGAACTTATCTAAAAATCCCAAACGCAAACCCTGTGAAAGTCAATAGTGTCAATAATAAGTTCTCAATTATTACAGTCCTCTTAAAAGAGAAGATTAGGAAATGACTCCTCCTAGTCTTTAAGGGCATGTGGGAAGATTTCAGACTTGAAGGGCTTTAACTCTGCCAAACACAGGTGGAGCAAAGTCCAGGGCTGGAAGACTGAAACTCAGGAGAGTTAAGCTGAAAACAAAGGGAGAACTGTGTTTTGTTTTTAACGGTGAGAGCAATTATCCACTAAACCAGCTCATTAAAAGTCTCCCTCATCATGGGAACCCTGTTAGTTGAAGGATTTCGTAAAACATGTGCTTAAAGCCTACCGCAGGACACGGGTTTGGGGTGGGAATGCCCACTGGAAACACCAAAGGCCAGTGTCACGGAGGGGCACAAGACTAAGTGACCATCATGGTGTCCTAGTGGCACTGAAATTTAAGCACCTAGGACCTCAGCAAAGTAATGACTGGATTTCACCAGAGAAGGCTTTGGAACTGTGCAGGTCCGTGCAGCCTCGGAGGTGACCGTGCCGTCCCTGCATCCCCAGCAACCTGTGCTGCAAAAACAAGATGCAAAGCGAGCTGTGTGCCGCTGACTGATGCTCCCTGTGAGCTTGCTGATAAAGGACTGCTTACTGCCTGACTTCTTACTGCTGCTTTCCTTGTCAGATCATGGCATATGTTTTTCATGGAATAACCAGCAGCACTAATTGTAAAAGCCTCAAGTTTCCTCCATGCTAGACAAAGGTGTGGTCTCAGTAATTTCTGGAGTATTATTAAAGTCCCAGAACAAGACAGTCAAGGATTGAGATGCAAACAACCGAGAAAAGCATCAAAGAGCAAATACACATATATACACATGTATTCCCTCTAATAGCAACAGCAAAAATCCCAGCTGAATATTTTAATTCTCATTAATTATTATTAATAACAACAAAGTTAGATAATATCTTCCTGCAAATGGACTTAGTACAGTAATTTAGACCTGCTGCCTTCCATCCGCCAAGCTGTTCCGCTAATTACCCTGGACCACAAAATTAGTCATTTACTGGATCATTATTTTATATTTTTAGTGCAGCAGATTGCCACTTTCTGATTTAATATTATCTGCCAAACAGTTCCCAGACTACTGAAATCAACCTTGTGGACCCAAATTTTTATTCAAGGAATCTGGAATTTCTACTTTGCATTGCAACATAAAGTAAATTTACTAAGAAAATAGAAAGGCTAAAGTAATCAGAATAAGTAGCTGCAGCTGGCTTAATGTTTTGGGGGTTTCTATATTTCAAGCTTTCGTTCTGATATGGAAAAAATGCATCACAAAAATTTTCACTGGACAGAAAACCTTCCTTTCCAGTCCTATTTTTTCTTGAGGTTTTCCAGAATTCCACAAGCCAATGTAAATATGTTTTACTCTTCAGATCCAAGAAGAATTACAGCAAGCAATGAGGGAAGGATCCCCCTATAAAACTAAGTAAGCAAATGATGCATTACTTCACTGCAAGCATATAACTGATAATTCATTGCCGTGAAAGGGAGAGGAGAACCTTGACATTTTACATATTTGGGAAAACCTGGGTTTGCTGTAATGGATTTGTGGCATTTTGTACAGCTGGAGTCTGAAGTCAGAGAAATCCAGTAAAATACGGAGCTCAAAATCGTGTTTCCCAGACAAGCCTGAAGCATTCAAAATCATCTGAAAATCCCTCTCCTTAACCACAGTTTTCTGTAAGTGCTTCATCTTTTCCCACATATTAAGCATTCTCATTCCTTGATGGAAAGATGATGAAGGTACACCCTTGGGTTAGCTGCTCCACTATCTTGTCCTTTGGCACAGACAAACTCTGGAATTGGAGACAATGCATCTGTGTCCAGGAAACCACCGCTCGCATTTGTTTGTTTGCTTGTTTAAGAAAGATGAAGTAAAACCAAGGGTCATAAAAATGCCATATCAACATAGCAGGTCATTAAAGTTTTTCTGATGTATCTTCATTTCTTTTTTTCTGATGTTTCCATTACAACACATGAATTACGCATGACGACACCTCCTGTGCCACCCCTCTGGTATGGCATCGGTGGGACGCATCCTCCTACTCCTACAGTGAAAGGCAATTGTTTTACAAAGCAGCAGTGCAGGGCAGCTTTCCTGACACATGATCACCTCTGAACCCCCTGTGAGGATTGCTCTGGGGCTTGGGTAGGTAAGAGACTGCACACATTGTCGTTTCCTGTTATATGAAGACACACAAATATTTACACTGTCATGTAAAGGAACATGAGTGCTAAAACCAGTGTGCCTGTGCTGAATCATTATTTCTGGCGGCAGGGAAGACAAATGCCAGTGGGTTGAGCTGGCAGTATTCTTGCAACGATGCTGACAGGAGACTGGAGGCCAACGCATTTGCTGGGGAAACTGATGAAGTTGCAATGATGCTGCTGGATCCTCAGCTTGAGCTGCTCCATGTGAACTGCCAATGGGGAAAACTCTGCCCACGTCCTTGGATGCCACTGGGAGGAGAGCTGCAGCCCTGCAGAGGTGGGTGGGAAGCAGGCGGTGGCAGTTTGGAGGAGTCCAGCAAGCAGCAGGAGGGCAGGGGAGGGTTTGCACCCCACAACGTCCCCGAGGAACAGCGCTTTGGCAAGGGGTACAGCAATGCTCTTCCCACCAGCAGAGAAACCAGCCGGGGGTTAGCACTGATAATCCCTCTGCTGTGCTTGCTGGACCCTTTTCTGCATGTGAAGCAAGTGACGGACTCAGGGCTAAGCTGTTGCTCTTCTTTCTTACTAGTCTGATGAGGGACAAGCGGTACAAGCCAGAACAGCCAAGCTAAAGGCGAGACACCCTGACCCCTCGGTGGAGCTGGAGGCTAGGGGTAGGAGCGATCGGTGGGTTGGCAGCTCCTGCTGCACAAGACTTGGCTCGCTGGCACTTGTCATTTGGTTTTTTTAAGACTTAAGCATGAAATATCGCCTCTGCTGACATCAGTGGAAGCTCTTCTACATTCAGGTTTGCCTGTTTGGCTTCTCAGGAGGAAGTTTTGCCAGGAAGGGACGTGGTGGCACTATTAAGACAAATGAGGCACATTAAGCAGGTTGCTCCTGTGGGACCTTTTCCCATCCTCTTCCCCTTCCTGCCTTCCCTCTCATCCCTCCTGGCTGTCCGCAAACCAGCCATGTGGAGCCAGAGCGAGCCCTGCCAAAACCAGCAGCAGATGTCCTGAGTGGGGCGGAAGAACAAAGGACGCGGGCAGGACTAATACAATTAAATTAAAGGGAGCAAAAGGGCGCAGCAGCTTCGGCAGCTGTGATCGTTGTGCGGCCTCTTCCAGCTTCTCGCTGATTAATAGAGGTTAAGAGCCTTTACCGTCCTGGGCTTTATGGTCAAAATAAGTCAGGTAACTTTATCTGTGTACTTCAGCACGTTACTTACAATTCTTTTGCTTCTCTTGCATCTGGAGAGAGTCCCTTCCTGACTTTTGCCAGCAGCCTTCCTTGCTCTCTGCTGGGGTTTTCTGCTAGCGAATCTCCTCTCAGATTGTCAGCTAAGACCACAGCTGCCCGGTCTTCTTTGTGTGTTTTCAGCCTTGCCATGAAAAGGAGGAACATAGCTCCTTACCCTGTCCTGCACGGGCAGACGTGCCCCAAGGTCCTGCTGCCAAGAGGGTGCAAAGCAATCAGCTGCAGGGAGCAAACACTTGAACTCAGAGGAGGACTAGTTTTTGCTAGGTTCTGCCAACAGGAGCAGCCACAGCTTGCCCCAACTTAAAACTTTCAGGGAAATAAGAAGAAAACATGAACAGAAGGACCTGGAGGCCAGGAGCCCATAACATCAGCCAAACACTGCTTAACAGCATAACAAAAACCTCTCCTTTTCATTTTCCTGAGGCCATTAAGCAAGCGTGGTGGATGCATTAAAAGCATCCATTAAAAGAGTTTGAAAGGCTTTCAAAAAGTGGGATGGCTGGCCCAGGGCACACTTGCCACGGGACCGATGGTGTAGCCAGACACAAGGCTCACTTGGTAGCCTGTGGCCATGGATAAGGGACACGGATAAGGTGGCTGACAGCTAGGATTGCCCATCTGGAAACTCCATCCTTAATGCTGGTGGGAAAGCAGAATTGATGATGAAACCATTAATAGTAATGTCATGGTAAAGAGATTAAACCCCAAGAAAATATTAGCATTCAAAGCCAG